ATATAGTATTTAAGAGGTGATATATCTTAACATACAATCATAACTGAACTCTTGACAGGCTTTTCCGTCGCAAATTTTTACTTCATTCACAACATTCGCGGACTAAGATAACGAGTGATAAAATCGAAATACTTGTCCCCGAATTGATTCTTGATATTAAGTTCTACTTTTGCTGTATCTCTCAAGTAGTATAGGTTTAGCAGTTCCTTAAATGTATGACAGTATACTAAAGCTTTGTCAAACAATTTTATTGCTTCTTCTACGTTTCCCCTAAATTAAAAAAATGGATTCAGAATATTTTCACTAAAACATCTTCGAATTTAGAATATTTTCATTAAAAAACAACTTTCTTTATATAAGTCATGTATGTGATTACAATAAGTTAACTAAATAAATTTTAAAGTACAATAATTATGAGAAAAGATTGGAAACATACCTTTTTATTTCAATAATTCCTAACGCTTCATATGCAGAACTGCACTTTTCATCCAATTCTATCGCTTTTTTAAGATATTTCGCAGCTTTATCAGAATAACCACTCCAATCAAATTGCAAAAAGGCCCTCTGCAGATAAACTAAAGACATAGATGTATTCTCCGGATATTTTTTTATTATTTTAGTAAAATAAATGTCAGCTTTTTGGTACTGTTGAGTTTCGGACATCATCTAAAAATAATTGAAAATTTTAACAATGAATCGAAATGTAAATGATAATAATTTATCTCCTCCTATCTCTTTTTTATTCCAATTATCTTTTTTAAAAAATTATAAATAGTATTTTATATACCTTACGATAATATTGATAACAAAATATACATTCAGGAAAGTTTGTATATTTTTCGAAAACTTTCTCGAAAGCTCTCACAGCCGCTTCAACTAATCTTACATCTTTATTTAACTTCGCAATACAATAATCTGTATAGCATTTTTGTATACATGCCATGCTAAAGTTTGGATTGTATTCAAGAGCCTTTTTAAAATCGTCCTTAGCTTTGTTTAGTTTGTCCATGTGCATATATAACTGAAATTACAAAATGTTATATTATTTTATATGTACATTTATATGCGACAAAAATATGCTCAATGTGCTTAATACCAGTCCTCTGTGATAGTAAATATCGCTGTAACGCGGATTTATAGTAATGGCTAATTCGAAATTCATGGAGGCCATGTCTATATCCATGAACTTCAGATGTAAATTCGCTTTCTTTAACAAAGCGTTTATCTTTACATCATCGGATGCATACTCGATGTTCAGTATACATTCTAAGTCTTGGAATGCAGGATCGTATTTACCCAAAAGTATACAAAATGTAGCTCGTAATAATAACACTTCAAGTTTAGTTGAAGGTAATGAATTAAATGCCGGACTTTCAATAATTTCCGTACACAATAGTATTATGTCATCATATTTCATATCTTTTAACGCTTGTAGTGGCTTTTTGAAAAATCTAATAACAAACATATTAAAAAGTAAATAATCACAAAAACAGTTTTCTGCCTATACTTACTCTGGAATATTTTCTGGACATCGAAGTCTAGAAAACACTGGATCTGTAGAATAAGATGTAATATAACATTCGATGAAAAGCTGATTTGGCATAAATAACTTTTTGTTTGCCCAATTTTCATAAGCATGTTGTTTCACTAAAAATAATAATAATTTTCATTGCAAGTAATTAAATTTCTGTTATGTTTCAAATTTTGTTCTAATTTGCTATAATTTTTACTTAATACAAAGTGCTTTTAATATGTAACTTACCAAGTTTTTTCAAGATTATTTCTACCTTAACAAGGGAATTAGGATGAGAAAACTCTTCATAAATACATGCGGTAGTCATGTCCTTCAAGGCTGCTTCCAAATCTCCCGTTTGCTCCAATATACGTGCCCTACGTAGCACAGTTTTAATATATTTTGGATTTAATTCCAACGCTTTTGTACAATCTGCCTTTACGAAGCTATATTTCTTCTGTAAATTGTAATTATTGTACACACACATTACTAACAACTTCGACAATCAACTGAAATCAAATTTTCATGTTAAACTTATTATGACTATTACAAATATCTTAATACCAATTGCTCATAAGCAGCTGCTCTATTTTGATAAAAAATCGCGAGTTCATCCTTATTCTCCTTGGGACAAATGTCGATTGCTTTAGTATATTCAGCAATGGCTTCATTATATTTTTTCGTTTTGAAATATACATTTCCTTCTTTTTTACACTTTAGTGCTCTTTGTATAGGAGTCTAAAATAAAGAATTTATTTGCATTTGTCATTAAAGTACTACCTTTTTAATGTTTACAATAATTTTATAAACATATATAATGCCATTATGGAAGATGCTTCAAATTATTTTATTGAAGTTCTAAAAAATAAATTTCTATACTATGAATTTTATGATCTCATCAAATTCAGCAGTGTTTGCAGACAATATATTATTTACTAAAAATTATCGCTCGTGAGAATGATAATTAAGAGATATTAATGGTATACATACAGCTATCGCTATCAATGAGGAAATATATAGTAAGAGGGAAATTATAAATCTATTACTTTGATATCTTTGAAATCCAATAAACAGACTCTCATAAGAGATATCATGAGAATTATGAATTATGGATAAATGTATTTTTGCAATGAATGGAAGACGCTTTCATATACGGCTCTTAACCTCCGATTCGGCTGTGGAAGAAGACACTTTGGATGGCTCATCGCTGTTAATAAGGATACGTTTGTTGGGCTCTTCTGCATTTTGTACATCGATGAATTGAGAATATGATCGAAGAAAATGGATAACATGTCCAAATCGATTTTGTATATTAAGATGTGTCTTTATAGCATCTACACTGTATATGTATAACAGTTCTTTAAATGTGCGACAAAATACTAAAGTCTTATCAGATAATTTTATTGCTTCCTCTACGTTCCCTCTGAAAGAAAAAATGGATTCAAAATGATTTCATTAAAACATCACATATTCTTTACGCAAATCAAACACATAATTGCAAATGATTTCTTTTAAAAATTGCAATGTATAATAATTGTAAAAAACAATTATATTGAAAACATACCGTTGTATTTCGATTGTTCTTAACATTTCAATACATCTAAGCTTGCCGCCATTAGAACATGTCTCCAATTTTAATACTTTGTTCAAGTATTCCATAGTATTATCAAGATTACAGTTCCATAATAGCAAATAAACAATAGCATAATCTGGATTTTTCTCTATCGCTTTAACAAAATAAGTATCAGCCTTTTGATACTGTTTAATTTTGGACATTATCTATGATTAAAAATTTCACCAAAAATAAATCAAAACATGTACAACATACTAATATTATATCACTTTTATTTATTTAATTTTAATTTTTTTTTCAAAATTATAAATAATTATATCTACCTGAGCATACAAAACATAACAACATACACATTCAGGAGGATTCGAGTACCTTTCGCTATCGAAAGCTTTCTCAACATCTCTCATAGTCATTTCGGCTAAACTTAAATCTTGGTTCAATATTGCAAAATGATAATTTGCATACCATTTCTGCATATGTGCCGCGCTGAAGTTTGGATTCAATTCAACGGCCTTTTCAAAATCGTGCTTAGCTTTGTCTAGCTCTTGAATGTCCAAATACGCCTTAAATAACAAAATAACATTGTTACAATGCTTTCATAATACATCGAAACTACATATGTGCGATAAGAAAAATATGTTCAATGTTTAAGTGCGTAATATACCTGGCCTCTATGATAGTAGATATCGCTACAACTTGGATTTATCACAATGGCTAAATCAAAGTCCTTAAAAATAAAATATCGAATCCCGATTTGTCTATGTAGATTTGCTCTTTTTATCAAGGCGTTTACCCTTACATCATCAAATGCATCTTCGCTAGATAAAATAATTTCAAAATCATGAATCGCAGCAGAATAATTGCTCCGAAATAAGTTGAATGTAGCTCGTAATAATATCACTTCTAGTTTAGAGGAAGGTAATTTATCAAATCCAGGACTTTCTATTATTTCTGTGCACAGCGATATTATATTATGATATTCTTTGTTTTTTAACGCTTGTAATGGTTTCTTGAAAAATCTAATAACAAAAATTAAAAATTAAACTTCATAATTCCACTAACTTTTGTTTATACTTACTCTGGAATGTTTTCTGGATGTTCAAGTCTAGAAAGTATTGGATCTTTAGAAAAAGCTCTAATATAATATATTTCAATGGCATGCGTAGTAAGCATAAAAAAATTTTCATGTGTGTTTTCCTGGACTTGTCCCACTAAAAATAATTTTGATTATATGTCATTAAATTTATCTATTATATTTCAATTCTTATTCTAGTTTGTTATGAATACTATTTTATTTAATATTATTATTAAAACCAGTAATCTTACCTTCGGTGTAAAATCGGTTACTCACCGATTTTATTGAAACTTGATACATTTGTAGAATAGTTCAAAATATTGGACACATATTTTTTTATATTGGCAAAAGTACAGTTTTCAGAATAAAAACAACCCCTTGTATTTATAAATCGATAATTCATTGTACTTAAACTCAAATATTAGAGTTATTTTTTTAGTCTTATGCCCAATTTCTTCATTTCCAAATAAATTGCGGATAACCTTATCCAGGAGACATCTCCATACTCTGGGAGATATCTCTTGAATAAAGTTATCTAGAGGTGCAGAAGAAATTGGATATTAAAAACAAAAGGTTTTTATATTGCTGAAAGAAAATTCAATATTGAAATTATAGAAATCAACATTGGCGGATCCAATTATTTTTTAAATTTTTAGTTCTATCTCCAAATCTTTGCCACATCTCTAATGCTCGGTTGCACCAACGTCACGTTGACTTTAAGCGAGGTTTAAAATTCTCTCCATTTCTCTTTCTCTTTCGGCTTTAAAACGAGATAGATAGTTTTAAGTCTCGCTTAAAGTCAAAGTTAAAGTCAACGGTTGTGCAACCGGGCTTAAGACACAAAAAAAATTTCTAATACTTGAGTTTAAGTACGAAGAATTGATTATTTCTTTACAAATACAAGGGGTCATTTTTATCCTTAAAACTGTATCTTGGACGATATAAAAAAAAAAACGTCCAATATTTTTTACTACTCTACAAATCTACTAAATTTCTAAAATTAATGACACAAAGATCTACTTGTAAGCGCTTTTAATATATAACTCACTAAGCTTTTCTAAGATCATTTCTGCCTTTAAAAGAGAAGCTTGATCGGAAAAGTTTTTGTGAATACAAGCAGTAGTCATATCCTTAAAGGCAGTCTCCAAATCCCCTGCTTGCTCCAATACACGTGCCCGACGTAGCAAAGCTTTAATATATTTTGGATTTAATTCCAACGCTTTTGTACAATCTGCCTTTACGGAGCTATATTTCTCCTGTAAATTGCAATTATTGTACACACATATTACCAACAATCAACTTCGACAATCAACTGAAATCAAATTTTCATGTTAAGCTTATTATTACATTACAAACATCTTATTACCAATTGCTCATACGCAGCCGCTCTATTTTGATAAAAAGTCGCCAGTTCATCTTTATTCTCCATGGGACAAATGTCGATTGCTTTAGTATATTCAGCAATGGCTTCATTATATTTTTTTGTTTTGAAATATACATTTCCTTCGTTTTTATACTTCTGCGCTCTTTGTAAAGGAGTCTAAAATAAAAGAATTTACTTGTATTTGTCATTAAAGTACTATCTTTTTGAAGTTTGTGATAAATTTATAGGCATATAATGTCATTACGGAAGGCACTTCAAGTTATTTCATTGAAATTTTATTAATTAGATAAATCTATAAATTATGCATTTCAAAATCTCATCAAGTTCATCAGCAGACAATATATTATTTACTGAAAATTGTAATACTGTTATTATTACAATTTTATATTATTATATTTTATATTATTACAATTGTAATAATGTTCGTAATAATGATATTTTGAAATATTGATGATATATAGCTATAGCTATAATTAACAAACATTAAAAAAAGGACATAATCGTAAGATATAAGAGAATTTATCCAAAATTCAAAACCCTCTCGGATTGTGAATTTCGAATAAATGTTTTTGTATTCAATGGAAAATGCTTCCATATAAGGCACGCTGTCTTAACCTCCGACTCGGCTGCAGGAAAAAGCACTTTGGATGGTCCATCAATCGGGATATGTTTGTCGGATTTCTCCGCATTTTGTATACTGATGAATCGAGAGTATGATCGAAGGAAACGAATGATAAATGCAAATCGATTCTTTGCATCAAAAATGTGTATAAGGTCTATACTATACATGTATAGCAGTTCCTCAAATGTATGACAGAATGCTAAAGCCTTATCAAATAAATTTATTGCTTCCTCTATGTTCCCCCTGAAAGAAAAAATAGATTCAAAATATTTTCATTAAACCACCAGATTCTTTATGTAAATCAAACACATAATTGTAGATTCCTTTACAAAATTGCAATGTACAATAATTGTAAGAAATTATATTGAAAACATACCGTTCTATTTCAATCAATCTTAATACTTTAATACACGTAATCTTGCCTGCAACAGAGCCTCTATCCAATTTTAATGTTTTGTACAAATATTTCTCGACGTTAATAAGATTACAGTCCCATAATAGTAGATAAACAATAGCGTAGTCCGGATCTGTTTCTACTGCTTTAATAAAATAAGTATCAGCCTTTTGATACTGTTGAGTTTCGAACATTATCTATAACGATTAAAAATTTCATTAATAATTTAAAATGTGTACGACATAATACTAATGCTTTATCATTTTCATTTTTTTCGTAATTTTAATTTTTTTTCCAAAATTATAAGTAATTATAAATACCTGAGCATATAAAACATAACAACACACACATTCAAAAGAATTTGAGTATTTATCTGTAGCTTTCTCAATGATTCTCTCAGTAATTTCGGCTAAACCTATATTTCCATTCAATAATGCAAAACGATAATTTGCGTGCCATTTTTGCATGTGTGCCATGCTGAAGTTTGGGTTGTATTCAACGGCTTTTTCAAAATCGCGCTTAGCTTTGCCTAGCTCTAGTATGTTCCTATGTGCCTTAAATGATGAAAATAAAATAATATTGTTACTACGTTGTTTCGTAATACGTAATGAATCTATATATGCAACAAGAAAATATGATCAATATTTAAATTAGTAATATACCAGTCCTCTATGATAGTAGACATCGCTACAACTTGGATTTATGATAAGGGCTAATTCGAAGTCCTTGAAAGCCATTTCTAAAGTACACATTTTCCCAATTTCCAAGTATACATTCGCTCTTTTAATCAAGGCATTTACCCTTATGTCATCACATACATCTTCGCTGTACAAAATAACTTCAAGATCATAGATTGCAGCGTTATAATAGTTATAAATGAAGTAAAATGTAGCCCGTAACAACAGCACTTCTAGTTTAGAGGGAGGTAATGTATCAAATTTGGAACTTTCAATGATTTCTGAACATAGCGGTATTATATTATGATACTCCCTATTTTTTAACGCTTGTAATGGTTTCTTGAAAAATCTGATAACATATTAAAAATTAATCGTCACAAAACGCAAAAAAATCTCTTGCTTATACTTACTCTGGAATGTTTTCTGGATGTTCAAGTCTAGAAAATACTGGATCTTTAGAGAAAGCTTTAATAAAAAATATTTCGACGACATACGTGTTTGGTGCAAATCTTTTGTTTGTCAATTTCTTCGGAAAATACTGTTTCTCTAAAAATAATTTTATTGGGTTGTCCAGAAAGTTCGTGCCGATGTTGAAGGAAAATTGAAACGCAGAAGATTTAAATTTTAGCATACATTTATTAAATTATATAGGTTAGTCGGCACGAACTTTCCGGACAACTCAATAATTGTAGGTCAAAATTTCTTTATCGTTATTTTTCAATTCTTTCTTATTCATTTATCGTGAATAGTATTTAGTACTAAATGCTTTTAATGTGTAACTCACCAAGTTTTTCCAAGATCATTTGTGCCTTTAAAAGGAAAGCATGATCAGAAAAGTTTTCGTGAATGCAGACAGTAGTAATATCCTTCAAAGCTGCTTCTAAATCTCCTAGTTGCTCCAAAATAAATGCCCGACGTAGTAGAGCTTTCGTGTATTTTGGATTCAATTCTAATGCTTTTGTACAATCTGTCTTCACTTTATTATATTTTTTCTGCAAATTTCAATTACAGTTGCGTATAGACATTTATATCACATTAATAAATTTAAATAAATTTTCATGTTATGCTTCTATTAGCAGTATCATCAATTTTATTACCAATCGCTCATACGCAGCCGCTCTGTTCTGATAAAAAATCGCGAGATCATTCACGTTCTCCTTTGGACAAATATTAATTGCTTTATTATATTCAGCAATGGCTTCATTATATTTTCTCATTGTAAAACGCACATTTCCTGCATTCTTATATTTCTGCGCTTTCTGTAAAGGAGTCTACAACGAAAGTTTGTTTGTATTGCAAGAGTGCTATTTCTTATTTCTTTTGCAATTTATGATAATTTTATAATATGTCTGTGATAATTTAATATCTCTATAGGACAGCTACTAAGTATTCTAAAAGATTTTAAGATGTGATTTCTTATATAAATTCAAAACGGAAATTCCAAATGATCATGTATCCGAAAAGGTTTAGTTTCAAAGATATATATGATGTTAAAATTGAAGGAAAAATTTCGTTTTTTTTTCACATATTATAAAAACAACTCGAGTTATTATTTTAAACATACGCAAAGTTTCTCAAGTCATCAAAATAACGAAAAGAATTTTTAAAACTTCGAAAAAAAAACGAATTTTTTCTTCAATATTGGTATTATATTTCTAAATTAAATAGGATATATGATCATATAAAGTTTTTGTCTTGAATTTATGCGAGAAATTTTTTCTTAAAATCTGTTAGAATACTTAATAGTCACCCTGTGTCTTTATGGAACGTATTATGGATTACTTTACTGAAGTTTTAAGATTCGAGAGACAAATATAAAGAAGCTACGTTTCGCAGGTTGTCTCCGTGTCCAGATCTATCGGATAATAGTAATTTCCAGTAATTGCTTCAATTATGGTAGATGGCTCTAGAAATTTTATTGCGATTAAAATAAAATGCATTCTTAGAATTTTCCCTCAGTGTTGGATGTATTGAATATTTGTATTCTTTAGCTATCTTTCTCATGTGTTGTCTAAATATATCTGATTTGTTATAATACAATACGTGGTCCGTAATAACTAATTACATTAATAATATATAATTATTAATAATATATAACTATATATATAACTATATAATAATATATAACTATATTGAGACTACATTCAAAGATAAATAAACGGATTTTCTCTTAGTTTTTTTAACAAGATCCATTACAAAGTTTGACAAAAAATGATTTTTTTTCGAAGCCTGAAACAAGACAAGTCAATTCCTGTAGTTTTATGAACTCTGAATATGAATCCGGTTTCCAAATTGCTCCATCATGTCACAGTTTTGAGAAATTTGCAATTAAAGTTGCAAAGAAGAGCTATTTTCGGGTACTTTATCATATTATAGCTACATGTAACATGTTGGAAAAATTTTATTGCGATTAAAATAAAATGCATTCTTAGGATTTTCTCTCAAAAGGAATTCGGTCATTAATATTCATGATTAAATATAAAATTTATCAAAATATCTGTCAATATGATCATTAACATTTATTAAAAAACTTTATATTATGTTTGCTCAAAGGATTTTAAGGATTTCTTAGACTGTTAAATACAAATCTGATATCATAATTGCTAAATTATGTATTCCATATGACAGAACGCTGAAATTAATCGTATTGTCAAAATTTATATGTATAAAAATTTTCATAATTTTAAATTTGTCTATTTTGATATCAGAGTTTAATTCTTCCTCCCCCTCGCCCTAAAAAACTCTTAAGTTCAAATAAAAATAATTAAAAATTATTTGGTAAATCGTCAATGATTTAATTCACGGTTTTCATTTCACAACAAACCCTTAAAAAAATGAACTATTAGTGAAACTACTTGATTATTCAGTCGTAATTTTTTTGCGAATTATTGGGAAGAGCTATTACATTATTGGGAAAACTATTCAAATAATTATTGGAAAAATTAATTAATTCAGTGTTACTGCTAAAATAAATATTAGTTTAGCATTATATTCCAGAATATACATGACAAAATTATGACAAAAAAAAAGGTTTTTTTTTGAAATCGGGATCTAATTTCACGATGCTCTCCAGCTATCACTCATCCAAAGCTGTATCTCATCTAGACTTACTTGACTTTTGCGATCGTATGAAAATCTCTTCGATGACCCACAAATCCTGAATATTTATAGATGTATAACTGTGACATATCTGGTCAAAGTATATCGTCAAAAAGCTCACGTATATTTAAGATATATGAATTTTTATTTCATAAATGAATCTAAAAAATTTTAATTTGTCCAATGAATAGATTTGGCTACAAATATGATTATTGCAAATACTTTGATTATTGATATGGTAGTCTCTTGATTACAGTCTCTTAGTTATAGGCTTAATGAATTATAATTACGTGCAATTTATTTAAATAGTCATTATTGTGGATAGTTCTAACTACTGAAAGCTGTAATATAATCATTCATATTCGTAATTATTAAAATAGTGCACTCTAATAATCATTATGGATAATCTGAATCTGATTAGAAAATCAATAATCACTCAGTATACTATTGGAGGAATGATTATTTTAAATAATTTAATTAGGGAATCAATAATCACTCTGTCAAAAGCTATAGAGAAATGATTATTGCACATAATCCGATTAGTGGAATCATTAATAATCACTTCGTTAAAAATTATTGGGGAGTGATTAGTGTAACAATCCGATTATTGAATAATAAATATTCACTATTAAAGAGCGAATAATCGCTATTAATATTCAATAGTGATTGGTTTTCCGTAAGAGAACTCCATATTTTATCATAAATATCTCATTAACTATACGACACTAAATTTTGAAGGCTAAAAATTCCCTTTGAAGAAAAATTCTAAAACGAATTTTATTTTAATCGTAATAAAAATTCAACCTCACATATCATTATAATATGCAAAATATTTCAAAATAAATAACTATTTTTCAATTTTAACTAGCAACTTTCTCATAATTATAACATGGTAGAACAATTTGGAAATCAGATATTTAGCGTCCAAAAAAACTGACAGAAATATCTGATGCCATTTGGATTTTTTTTGTCTAACAGTGTTATTAAAATGTCAACATTTTGTGAATATCGCATTTAATTTCATCAGAACAAGGAATCTGATATTGAAGTGAACTGCAATGTTCACGAAACGTTTGCATTTTAACAATGGATCTGACAGAGACAACCCGCGAAACATATAGCTTCCATAAATACCCATGGAAGCGTTAAAAGCTTTAAAGACATAAACGTTAAAAGTTATAAGACAAATATATATTGTAAAAGTCTCGATTATTAAAAAGTTTATCGATTAGGAAAATCCATGATTATATGTAAACTATGCATTTTATAATCCCATTATTACAATAAGTATTCGGCAATGCTTGCAGACATTATCTATTGAAATTAATCTCTTATGATAACGGTATCTAAATATGTCAATGTCACAATATGTTTTATGATGATATAGAGAAAGCAAATAAATTCATGATTCTGATGCTTTTTAAAATCTAGAAGGTAGCATCAAATGCAACTTTGAGAAAAATAATGTTCTTTTTCGTTTTGAATAAATGGATTTTCACAATCTAATCGGGTATTTCCAGATAAGACAAATGATCTCAACCTCCGTCTCAGCCACAGGAGAAGACACTTTGGGTGACTGATCACTATGCTTCCTTCCAGTAAATCTCCTTTTGCTTTTACGCGTCATCTAAAAATACATTGAAACAAATTTTTTGTTCACTTAATGTTTAATTTCTTTTTGCAATACAAAGGATGAAAAGCAATCATAAACATTTTAGAATATTAATAACTTAATAATTTAATTATTATTGTATAGTTATACATAAATTTTAATATCTTACTAATAATTTTTCTGTTTTTCTTAATATAATTCCTTTTATTCTATAGATTTTTAATAATTACTTTCATCAGTAGTGCAGAAACTTATTGATTAAATCAATATTAACTGAATTCTAGATTGGTTTTTTAAAATGTGTTAAAGAATAGCCATATATTCTTTTTTCCTTGTAGCTTCTGTTTTAAGTAAACTTAGACAAAATAATCTACCAGAATTCTTCAAGATTTTGAACATGTTTCCTTTCCATTACAATTTCCAATCAATATACATATCAGTAACAGATCAGTATCAGTAACTTCATGCAATAATTTAAGAATTTGTACTATCACATATGACTCTATAATTCATAAAATAATTAAAATTCAGTTTTGAAGATGAAAGATTTAAAAATTTAAAACAGTAATCTTTTGATCTGTATGATCAAAAGAAGGAACTTAATGTTGAAAAGAAATACAAAATTTTCTGGATAATGCAAATAAAAAAATTAAAAAATGAATGCAACTGTAGACCCTTTTCCTTCCTTTTAGCTGTCGATAATCTGATTCTTTTTGATATCATTATTAATAAGTATGTTAAATATATATGTTTCAATAGAATACTAAAATGATTCAGGACAAAAAAGTTGGCAAGGATATTTTTTAAATGATGTGTTTAATCAATTAATCCAAAGTTGCAGCAAGCAATAACTGTGTAGAAGATGAACCTAGATAATGTGTATCCATGAAAATAATCATGCAAGAATATAAGGAAAGTGAAATATTTGATTTTTTTTGTAGAAAAGACAGTGTAACGCAATGGATCATTATGGAAAGCCTGAGTATCGCATCATATCTTATTTTTCTTCTTATGTTCCAGTAATGAGTTTTCTATTGCTATTTGTAACTTGTTAATTCATAAGAGGTAATTATCTAATTTCCACCGAATTATCTAATGTTGCATAAAATTAAATTTATATGTCAAAGACGTATTTAACTGTGCTTATTTCATTCCAGCTTCTATCCAATAAATTTATTTTTAATGGAAACAAAATACTATAAATTTGATTTGCACTGAAGTGGAATCGAATTAGTGAGGATTTCGGTGAAAACTATACGAGGAGATTACGAACGGTAACGCTTTCCACATTATATACTTATTTCTTTACTTAATACAATCTGCCTTCCGAGAAAAAGATCTTTGGAAGTCAACACGATCAAATTTCGTCAATGTTTCAAGTCTGTCATAATTTCAAAAATTTGAGATGATGCAATACTTGGACTAAAGAGAACACGTCTACAGCCGCCCAAGTGGTCTTTCGAAACTTGCGCGTGATTATGCACGAATATATAATACCTTGTTATTGTTGAACAATATGTTGAATAACGTTAAGTCTGTCGGGCAATTTCCCTTTTCCGTGAAAATTATTCACGTGTGAAGACAAGACTTTCACGATGCGATTATAAAATACTCAAGTCAATCAATCAAATGCGTCGTCTCTACTCATTCTTCTGCGTCGTATTAACTGATCAGTATGACAAAGGCAGTTCATATCAAATATAGAATTCCTAGAAGCCCCTCCTTCTTCCTCTTCTTCATCCGGTAGAAAAATTCTTTCAATTAATGCAAGTGGGATTTCCCTGCAGCCATGGTAGTATCATAGACATAGTATTATCACAGTCTAGATATATTAGCTGAGCATCGGCATCTCTGACATAGAAAAGACAAAGTCAAGTGATCTGGCTATTTTGAGAATTGTACACGCGCTCACATTTAAATATTTTAGCTAAATTATGACACTGATTAATATGAATGTTTTTAAATAAAAGACGCATATATACAATATATCACAACAAATTATTTCATCTTCGTTTAATATTGCAAACAATAAGAATAAAATTGAGTAATTGTTTTAGGCTATGTTATTTATATTTCTTATTGGAAAACCGTATAGTAAATGAAATTATAAAATAAATGGATACTATTCATTTGTTATAAAATGTACTATTATTGAAATGTGTATGTGAGTGCGCGAGTGCATGCGCGCATGCGTGTGTATATACATATAAACCAGGTGTTTACAGGTATATTTTTAAAGGAAAATTTTACTTTATTTAATAATCATAATAACCGCTGGAAAAAATAAATAATATAGAAGAATTAGAATAATATAGAATTAGATAATAGAATATAAAGTTTTTAAAAATAAAATTAAAAAATTAAATTAAAATAAGAAATAAAGTAAAATAATATCCATTATTCAACACATTTATAATTAATATCGTAAATCCACATATATCATTCTGTGTTTATTTTTTAAATATTTTTACTTTTACTATTATGTTCATATTATATATGTAATCATTAAATACATAATAAACAAATAAATATGTTTGAAATAAATATAGAAAAAAATAAGTATGATTATTAGTAAACAATAATAAAAATTAATATTATAGTAGAATAAATATTATAGTAGAATGAAATATTCAGTCACACAATGATTAAAACGATTAATGTATAATTGTAAATTTACTTTTTATTATGAAAAAAATGTAACTTTAAGTACTACTTAAAAACACAAATTATCTGCTTTAAAAATAACAATTCACTACTTTAAACATAATTCTTTGCATTAACAGTTTGTGTTTGAAGCATAAATTTGTGTTTTTTAAAGCAGTGAATTTATATAATTAAAGCAGAAATACATTATGCTGTATCAAGTCGAGATACCTTAATCTCTAAAATCTCGAATTTTAATTTCTCGATTTACAAAACCAATCATCATGTTTTTCTGTTAGATTCTTTTGTTTCATGCAAAAACGTGTTGAATGAGATTAATTTCATCAAAATCGAAAGTGAAGACTTTCTTCTAAATAGATTAGATTGCATCGCAGCCATCTTCTCTGTGATACAACTGACGCATGCGCGTGACGAATTTGTCTTATCAAAAAAAGTGATGTGTCGCAATTGGTATATCTGTGATATTATTGTGGTATTACTAGAGCACTAGAAACATAGGTATTCGCGTCCACTATTTTTATTCCTTTTTCCACTTCTTGTTCTGTCCATCACTGTGACGGGTTATGGTCACTACAAGTTATGATTTGTATTTGCTGCTTGAAATTTTGAAGCTCCTTTCATTCCTTTCATTTTTACTCTCAAAATCAATTGAATATCTACTGTAATATTAGTGCAGGATTTGAAGAGTGTCTGGCGTTCAGGTTATTTCTAGATAAGGTGCCAAATATGTATGTCAATTTGAAGATAAGGATTGAAATTTCTTATCTATGAGGAAGTGTAGAGATGTTTATTTACAAGTCATGTATTTATTTTACAGCAATATAACAACTTGTCGACGAATATATTATCCGCAGGAAATTTAAATAATACCTTTTTTTGATCTATTGATACAGTTTACCGCAACGGAACAATGCACTTAAAAAATTTTTTGCCTTCGTTAATATATTAGGTGTGGAAAAAAATGGGAAAAAGTTCGTGGCGTTTTTTAAATGCTATCTAATGGGAAAAAACGCCACGAACTTTTTCCTACACCTAATATAATATTTCAGTTTTTTTATAGCCTTCTTTTCATCTCTTATTCTTATGATATAATTTCGAAATGCGGAAATACATAGATACAAAGCTATAAGGTTTCCAATAGCTTAGAAGCTATAATCTATAACAACCATAATAACTATAACCTTCTCAGCTCAGCGATGGAGTGGGAACAAAGCAAGGAGTGGGGAAAGGAGTAAAAATGGCGGATATGCGAATATTCATGTTTAAGCCTTAAACACAATGCGAAGGAATAGCGATAGCGATAAGAATAACACGATTTCAACCTATCAGAAATCAGATACACTGGAATATACACTTTCTGATAGATTGAAATCATGTTATTCCTATCGCTATCGCTATTTCTTCGTATTGTGTTTAAGGCTTAAACATGAATATTCGCATATCCGCCATTTTTACTTCTTTCTCCACTCCTTGCTTTGTTCCCATTCCGTCGCTGAGCTGACAAGGTTATGGTTATTACGGTTGTTATAGATTATAGCTTCTAAGCTATTGGAAACCTTATAGCTTTGTATCTATGTATT